ACTATACTTAGCCATAACTACACCTATGTTCCTTTTCTGTAACTTTCTGGCCTGGAGAATAGATACTGAGCTAGAACCCCAGTTTGGCATTAATTTCCCAAAGGAGGAATGCTTCTTTCTTGAGGGTTCCAGGAAATTAACCCCTTTGGGATGTCTCACTGCTCAGAAGAAATGGGCTTTGAGTAATCTTTTTTGCATCTCCGTAACCCCGTGTGAGGCAAAGCAACACCTCCCAAATAAAAATCAGGATCTCAGAACCAGTACTGGGGATTTTCAGATTCCCATGACAACTTTTATATCTTATATGCTAATGGTTGCAGAGAGAAGATAATAATAATCATCAATGAATTTTTTTTCTGGTATTAATGCAGTATCTTCCTTTCGGATCAGTGTTAGCATGTCCTTTGTCAAGCAAGTTATATTCCAACTCAACCGATTCCTTTGATGGACATGATGAAGTCATTGGCTGATTTGAATGGGGTAAAGCTCTTAAAAAAGAAGATGAGGAAGAGGCATTTTTTATTTTGACTATACATGAGCACTGATGACTAATTTTTAACACACACACACACATATCACTGGTGATGAAAATAACTATTTAATATAACTAATGTAAAAATGATCTGACTCTGTTATCTCATTTTTTGCTTATCCATGTAGTCTTGTGTGCTTTGCTTAAAACCTTTGAGGCCATGGAAAGGTTGGAGTTGAGGTCAGTTCTTTGGAGGCTATTGCATGCTCTGCTAAGGGTGTTTCTTTAGCTACCAGGGGATGGTATGTGCATGAATTATCTTTTCAATGTCAAGGCCAATTATAGCTGAGTAGAATCAATCCAGCTGTGGCAGGCTGAGACATGCAAGTTTCAAGATGGCACAAAATGATTAAGTCAGGCAAGAAACAGAAGCTTTGGGGCCAAGCCAAATGCTATGCTTGATGGGGAAGAAGAGAGTAAGGAAACACACAATTCAATTGCTACTGAGATGATACAACCCTGAAAGCCCTCCATGATCAGTGTTAACTCCATGTTGGTTTGAATATTTTCAATATGTACAGTGAGTGGCTTTCAGGGAATGGTCACCCCGTGACAGAGGGCCTGGCACCCTCTGGTCACTTGTTCCCTTTCACTGCTTTTGGGAGGTCCTAATTCAAAAGTTTTAAAAGTCATTTTACTCTGTAGATTATGTGTGGAAAGGCTTGCTTACTCTCAGTTCCATTGCTCTTAAACCTTTCAACTAGTTCTTGCTGACAAAGTTTATGTGAATGAGAGAGAGATTATTTCTAGCTCTGGGGTTTGTATTAGAAGTTATTCTTTTATTTATTGTCATTAACAAATATGGACTAAACACCCACTAGATGCCAGAGATATGTAAGCAAACTACCCATTTCAGACATTGTGCAAAGTCTTAGTTCCTGAGCATTCAGGACCTTGTGCTTTGGACCCTGGTTCAAACCACAGACAGAGGAAGTGCTGATGGACCCTTTCTTGTCACAGTTGAAGACTTCCAGGGAATGGTTCTTTGAGGAGCAACCTTGGCTGAGGCTCTCTTGGTTGAATCTCTAAGTACTGTGGCACAAGACAAGGCTTCCTGCTGAGTAATGTAGCCTAGGGGAAAGAAATAAGAGAAACTACAAAGTCAACATTTTTACAAAACAAATAAGCAAACAAAACTGAGAATATTCACATTGTGTATAAAATTTCTTCTACTCTTGTGGTTAGCATGCCAGATTATATGATCTTTGAGAATGGGAAGTGTATTTTTTTCTTTTGCATGTCTCATTCAAAAGGTTAATAAATACTTAGTCACTGATTAACATGTCAAATCATTTGGAAAGGGACTTGAGCCACACGAAATCTTCACATGAATTACTTATCTTTGATATCAAAACTTTCTTCAAACCAGAAAGACATATTTGATTTCTCTCAGTGTTTCTCAAAGTGTAGCTTGCAGACCACCTACTAGAGAATCATCTGACTGAGGCCATGTGCTTTTAAAAAATGCTTATTAAAAACAAAGATTTCTGACTCTACTCCAAGGACTTTCTGAATCAGAAACCCAGGGGGTTAGCCCTGGAAATCTGCATCTAAATAAGGTAACAGGTGGATTTTATGTGCACCAAACATTTAATACCTCTGCTTCTGGATTTATTGGCTTCTGTGCAATTTTGCTGTAAAGACAAAGTCCCTAGATGATGCTTCTGCAACACTTCAGACAATCCTGGGGACCAGACTGAATCCCAGCTCCTCCACTTACTCATACTAGTTGCATGACCCTGGTCAAGTTATTTAATTTATCCATGTTTCAGCTTTCTCTTCTGTAAAATGTAGGTTATA